GCTCCCCAAATCATAGAAGTTATCCTAGATGGTAATATAATTGCTTCCAGGTGCTTATGTGGCTATACTCATTGTAGCCTATGAGACATCTCACTGCACTTGCAGCTGCAAACATCATCAAACTTCAACCGAACTTCCATAAAACACACAGAATAAGTAGATGACTTACCCTCTTTCCCATTCTGAAAGTTACTACTTCCAAATAATTTTTTTTAATCTCACTAGGGAAAAGTGAGGCCTTCCATGGAAATTTAAACATAATTGTATTTATTAATCCCAACAACCAAACAAAGCAAAAGAAGGTCAAATTTCTAGAAAACTTGAAGATGGTATAGAAAAAGAATATAATTAAGACCCAGGTTAGGAGGTCCCAAACACTGCTTAAGCATTCTCCTGGGTTCTACTTTTGTGCAAAATAATAATGGCTACCTGAATACACATAGCTGGCACTCGAGAATGTCTGCTGAATGAACTGCCCTACCCAACACATAGTACGAGAACTATCACGGTAAAAAACAAGAAAAGATGGTGATGAAAGAATTCTTTAAGAACCATTTCCTTCAGGCTACTTTTGTAAAACTTCTACTTCAGCTCTACTAATCTGCAATTTATGGTCTTTCAAGTTGAAGTTATAGTCCATGCTTTTAAAAGGTTGTATGATTAATAATAATAGTAGTTATCAAGCACTTATAGTATATAGGAAAAGTGTTTTTATGTAATAGTCCATTTAAGCATTAAATCGATTTTATCAGACAGAAACCATTATCCTTATTTCCAGATGAAGAAATTAAAGACATAAAGTAACTTGTATGATGTTACACTGCTAGTAAGGGAAAAAACTGGACTTGTAAGGAAAGTCTATCTCAATTTAAAACTTCATTTTCAGCCTTAAACAGTACAAAGAAAGAATATTAACTAGTATTTCACAGCCTCTTAGAATTGAATATAAAATAAAATAATTTGTTGTCTGTACAGCTGACCATTGATCAACACTGGTTTGAGCTGTGCAGATCCACGAACACGCAGATTTTTTTCTCAGTAGTAAATACTACAGTACCTCATGATCCGAGATTGGTTCAATCCATGGATGCAGGACCACAGATACAGAAGATCCATGTTTACAGAGGGCTGGCTAAAAGTAAAATGTGAATTTTTGACTGCAGGAAGGAACTATGTCTATAACTCCTGTGATGTTCAAGGGTCAAATGTATTACATACTTTTTAATATATACTGAAATAATTAACTTACTAATTAACACTCTATTTCATTAAAGCAAGCCCTTCCTCTGCTGACTATATCATTAACCTACTCTAGTTACTCTCTGTATTTAACCATAATAACACACAATTTTTACAAAAATAAACCTGTAATTCACCTTTACCTAAGGTTATCCTCAATCCTCAGCCCAAATTTCTGAAAATTTACCATTCCTTGGTGGCTCAGATGGTAAGGCGTCTGCCTACAATGCGGGAGACCCAGGTTCAATCCCTGGGTTGGGAAGATCTCCTGGAGAAGGCAATGGCAACCCACTCCAGTACTCTTGCCTGGAAAATCCCATGGACAGAGAAGCCTGGTAGGCTACAGTCCATGGGGTCGCAAAGAGTTGGATACAACTGAGCGACTTCACTTTCACTTTACCCTATTTTAATAAAAAGCAAATGACTTTATAACTTAGTAATATAGGCTCTTACTATGGAACAAATTCACACACACACTCTGAGCATGTAAATTTTCTCTATCTCATCTTTTTGCTAAACTTTGGCTAAAAGTTGACTACTGCTGTCAATATTATTTATCATAGCCTACACATGCTTCTTTTCAGTATATGCTTTCCATTTCAGCTGCAGAGAATAGGACACAATGATGAATTTTTAAAAGCACAGTTAGGCAGACAATGACTCTATATAGATAATAATCATAATAATTCAGCTTCAAATGTCTTCCTACCGTATTTCTTTTGCTTTGCTTTCAGTATCTACAGCCTTTGCTTTTAACTGAGGAAATTCATTGTCAATATATCTACTCTAAAAGAAATGTTAAAGGAAGTTCTTCAAAGAGGAAGAATCTGCTATCAGACTCTTGGATGTATACAGATAAATAAAAGTGCTGGCAATGTAATAAGTAAAGGTAAAATAAAATGTGTGTGTGCTGTGTGTGCTAAGCTGCTTCAGTTGTGTCTGACTCTGTGCAACCCTATAGACTGTAGCCTGCCAGGCTCCTCTGTCCATGGTATTCTCTAAGCAAGAATACTATGGTGGGCTGCACTGCCCTCCTCCAGGGGATCTTCCCTACCCAGGGATTGAACCTGTATCTCTTTCATCTCCTGCATTGCCAGGCGGGTTCCTTACCACTAGTACCACCTGGGAAGCCCAAATAAAGTGCACCTTTTTCTTATTTGTAATTGTTCTGAAAGCTAAATGACTATTTAAAGCAAAAGTTGTTTACAGAATATTTAAAAATATGTCTGACAATAATAACACAAAGGATTGGGGAGGATTAAACAATACTACACATGAAGAGGGATACTATTATTTGAAGGTAAAGTAATTAAGGATATATATTGAATATTCTGAGCTTCCCTGATAGCTCAGTTGGTAAAGAATCTGCCTGCAGGGCAGGAGACCCCAGTTTGATTCCTGGGTCAGGAAGATCCACTGGAGAAGGGATAGGCCACCCAGTCCAAAATTCTAAAGAAACAACTAAAAATATAATACATGAATATAGAATGTGTATAATAAGTCAATAAGTGAGATAAAATGGAATAATAAGCAACCAATTAACCAAGGAAGAAAAAGAGGAGAAAAAAGAAGCAATAGATTGAACAAATATGACACTCATGTGATGAATGAAAAATGTGGGACAGAACAACTGTGAGTGTCTTATCATCTGGAACATTCTATGAATCTGGGAGCTGCTTCCTTGGCTTGGAAGACTTTCCAGTGTTAATGAGGCCTTTGATATAGAAACTCTTAATAAAATCTCTTTAACTAGCATAGCACTGATTTAAAAAAAAAAAATCTTTGCTTTTTAATATAATTATACCTCCCCAAAAAGAAAATACTACTATAATGTAATGCCTTACATATTGTAAGATCATTGAGAGAAACAAATTGTAAGATCATTCACTACATGAACATGTTGATCATATGAAACTGAGCCAGTGACAGATAATAGCAAACAATATCCAGATAAATGTTCATCTCTAATCACTTAATTTTACATATATATAATATTCTGTGTGACTGAATACTCTATTACATGATCTCATTCTCAGAGTATTAGTAATATAAATACAAGAAAAGGGTTAAGCCAAAAGTAAAAATATTCTTTTGATTTTCATGCTCTTAAATCTCAAACATAACACTGTAACAGTTTTTTGCATAAATTCATATAACTTATGTAAATGTTTTTAAAACTCAGAATGGCATCACCAGCACAGTCCAATAGCCCATCTAGTCTGACATCCTGACAGTGACCAATGACGGAGGCCTCAAAGGATAGCATAAACACATAACATAATGTATATAAGTGTGCACCACCACACCATTACTCCAGATGTAGTTAGATTATGTCCTGAAAGAAATGAAAACAAATCCCAACTCCCATCACTTCCCTACTCTGTAATTTCCCAAAAGGTGATAGGAAACCTCCAGTAAAGCACAAATTTAACTATAATATATGCCAATGCTTTGGTGACATGACAAATGACTAACAAATGATCTTCTAAAATGAAAAGCTGTACTCAGAAATAGAACCTAAACTCATCAAAACTTATGATTTGTAAAATGAGTTTTCAATGAGTTGAAAAGCATTTGATTCACTTAGTTAGATCTATAAAATAAATGAGCAAAATTTAATTAAAGCTTAATAAAACTGTTTTCATCCATTTTGTGATATGTTATACTGTTTCTAGAAAGTAGTATAAAATTTATATTTTTAACTCTTCAGAGAAATTATATTCACACCTGTTTTGTAATGGTTTTAAAGCAAGGCTTGATTTATTAAATGTTCATCTAAGTGTGCAAAACCACATAATGAAGAAACCATGGTTTGGTCTTTCAGGAAGTACTATTTCCTAAACAATTATAAGCCCCCCCAAAAATGCACTATATTTTTAAAGACTTCTGGAGGAGATAATTCTCTTGGTAGTATACTTGGGTACTGATTTAACAACACTTATAGCCAGGAAACAGTTTCTGACCTGAATCCTCCATGGTATAATTTACATTCATTTTCTTTTTCTCTGACCTCAAATAAGTTGTAGAAGATTGGGTTATATCATATCTATTTGAAAACTCTTATTAACGTCTCCTTTTCCAGGGTAAATGCACTGCAGGACTATGAACCAAGTAACAATCCTGTAGTGAATTCAGTCTTATAATTCTTACATGCTGTATATCATAGCCCAAGAGACAAATTTCAAAAATTAACCATCATTTCTACGAAGCACCACTCCTTCCCCACAATAATATACTTTCTCAAAAAAAAAAAAGTTATAATGTAAAAACAAACCTCAAAAATTTAGAAAAAGAAAGTCTGTGAGCGATGAGGGCAAGGAATAATACACACAGAATTCCATGCAGACACTGCTTCCTTCCCCAGAACAGGGTACCATTTAATGAAATGTATCTCTCAAAATCTCTGGGGCAGAACTAAAGCTGCAGTGCAATATCATAAAAACCTGCAGCTGTGCTGCCGTTCTTAATAGTCCACGCTGCATCCTTAGACCACAGGAAGCCAAAACACACACACTGTCAGAACACAACTTACCTTAACAAGGAACTGGCCAAAGCAGCAGAGCAGTTATGACAGGTCAAGAATCAAAACTGTTACTGAAAAGACTGTACACGTCTTTATGAATTTTCTCAACCTGCTCACTCCAGAAAAGCTGCTTTTCCAAAAAAGCTACTCGCGTTTCCAAACATCATTTCTTTTAGGGATAAAAACTATAGGATAAGCAAATAAATTTACTACATATAAATAAACATTTACAACTTACTTTTATTGCCCACCAAGGCAACCAGGGGCTGAGTTTCTGACTCCTCACTCACTTTCTTCACCACAGAATACCAATCTTCTAAATTCTCAAAGCTTTGATAATTTGTAACATCGTATACCAAGAGGACTCCCTGTCACAAGAGTTACAGAACATTTGTAATATACTACTTTAAAAAATATTAATATTAAATACTTATAAGTAATGGATATGTTGAGTATAAAAAATACATGCAAGGACGGTTTGTATCTGACTTTAATTCTGTTATTAGCAGACAGATAATACTGAATGTTTTCATTCAAGACATTAAGATACAAAGCAAGATAAAGAATGATTATATCAAATTGTAAGTGGGTTCCCAATAAGATACCTGGGATATGCTTGATAAGTTTCAATAAATGTTAAGAAAATCTTATTATAGAGGTGGGAAAAGCTGCAAGGTCTACAATTCTGCCTGTCACTTTCATGAGGTCAAACATTTAAACTTTTTAATAAATAACCATCTGCTGCTGCTCTTTTAAAATATTTTCAAAAATGGAGATCCCATGACATCCCTTGATAGTCAATTTCAGCATTTAACACAATTTTCTTTAAATGAAATAAGTCGATTTCCTCTTTCGGTCCTCTGTGCATTAGGAGAACAACAAGAGAGTATCCTCCTTATAATAACCCTTCATGTACTTGAAGATAGTTAAGTAACTCCTTCACCATCTCCTTTCCAGAATAAACAAACTCAATTCCTTAAACTTGCCTCAAAGGACCTATTTTCTATCCTTTTAATCATAGTTGTTGGTTCTTCTCAAGGCATGCTACATACAGTTTTTTGACATCCTCTTTAAAATGAGCAATGTAAAACTGGACATGATACTGTAATAAGAGTCTGAACAAAGCCAAATATACCAGAGGGATTGCTTCCTGTCTCTTATATATCATATTCCTTTTAATACATCCCATTATTTTGTGTGGGAAGGAGATGAAGTATGTACACACACAAAAATAACACTGCTACATTCTTGATTCTCATCCAATTTGTGGTCAAACACTTAATACAAAGCTCTGCATATATAAGTCTGGGCCCTAATGGAATTTATGTCTCCTTCTTCTTAAGTTACAATCATAAATGTTGACAACTTCTTACACCTATTATGTACCAGAGAGATATCTGGATCTTTTCATTCCTCCTCACAAAAAATCATGCAAGACTGGTATTACCCTCATTTTCACTAATAAACACTCACAGGGAGCCAGAATTTGAATCAAGGACTGAATATAAAGTCCACTCATTTACTCTATAAACATTTGTCAGTCTATATGCCAGGCACTGTGCTGGGTACTAGGGACATAAATTCCAGCTTCAAGGAACTCACAGCCCTGCAACAAAGCCAGACAAACAGACAAGTATATAACACAAAACTCATCAGCAATGGTATGCTGGTAAATATTAATTAACCAGCTTGAGGCATGGTAAGGAGAGGAAAGGATGAGAGAGGGTTATTTGTAGCATTTGCCAATTTCTGTAGTGTAAATACTCTCCTGTGGTCATTTAAAATCTATCAATGTCACTTCACCAAACAGAGCTGGGTAGGATATCACCACATAGCATTTCCACTATACAGGTACACTTGATACACTAGATATAAATAACATTAAGGGCACAAACAATAGAAATATATAGTAAAATAATCAGTAAGTGATACATTTTAATTATATAAATCTTTGTTTTTAATATAATTCATAAGTTTATATATATATATATATATATATATTTTGTAATCACTAATGTATTCAACAATTGGCTCAAAAAAATTCCTAAAAATTTAACAGTTGACTCTCCCGATCCAGATCTAGCTCACTACCATTGTGACCTTGCAGTACTGTGCTCTTTTTTCCCCCAGTTTTATCATCAAATAGTTGACATACATCACTGTACAAGTTTAAGGCATATAGCATGAAGGCTTAACTTACATATATTGCACACTCATTTGTTAAACTACATTGGCTCCCCCAAGTCACTTAGCTTCTCTGGGTCTCAAGTTATTTGCCTAAACACTCTCTATGATCCTTTTCAGTTTAATGACTCTATAATCTTTATGCAAAATCATGTGTCTGATTTATTTTACTAACTTACAAACCTATTTCTATATTCCTAAATGCGTTGAAATAATGCTCAGCACAGAATTATTTGAAACAATAAGCATAATTCCACTTTTCTTATTAAAAAACAATGTCCCAGAAACAGCCTCTGAACAAAGCTACTACTCAATCCACTGACTCCACCTTCAGTTGACATGAGTGATACAATGTATTATGCTTAAATAGCTCTGCCCTGGAAGTCAGATCAGCTTTGGATTATAGTCCTGGCCCTACTAGCATCTACTGATCCTGGGGAATGCTTCTGTCTCCACCTTTATAATATCTGCCATGATTAAGTGAAGTAATAAAAACAGACTTATTTTAAAAATAAGATACTACACAATCACTGGAAACTTTTTTATTATTATTCAGAGTGAATATGAATCATTTTCAAGGTAACTTTGAGGTAGCTTTCACTCTCATAAACTGAGCTTTGACCTATTTGTTGTACAGTCACTAAGTCCAACTCTTTGTGACCCCATGAACTGAAGCACACCAGGCTTCCCTGCCCTTCACTATCTCCCAGAGTTTTCTCAAATTCATGTCTATTGAGTAGGTGATCCTATCTAACCATCTCAAACTCTGTGGCGCCCTTCTCCTCTTGTCCCAAAGCTTTCCCAGTGTCAGGGTCTTTTCCAATGAAATGCTCTTCGCCTTAGGTAGCCAAAGTTCGGAAGCTTCAGCTTCAGCATCAGTCTTTCCAACGAGTATTCAGGGCTGATTTCCTTTACAATTGACTGGTTTGATATACTTGCAGTCCAAGGGACCCTCAAGAGTCTTCTCGAACACCACAATTTGAAAGCATCAATTCTTTGGCGTTCGGCCTTCTTTACGGTCCAACTCTCACATCTGTACGTGACTACTGGAAAAACCATAGCTTTGACTGTATGGACCTTTGTCAGCAAAGTGATGTCTCTGCTTTTTAACATACTGTCTACGTTTGTCAGCTTTCCTTCCGAGGAGCAAGCATCTTTTAATTTCATGGCTGCAGTCACTATGTGCAGTGATTTTGACCTATGGTGCCTCTTAAACCTGAAAATTTTTAGAACTCTTCTAAGTAATACATTAAAATAGTCATCACAACATGGGTCAATATCTGAACATAATAGAATATATGCAAATAAAACATGGCCAGCATCTTTTGATAATCCGTACTAGACCAGAGCCAAAGAATAAAAACTATAACTGATCTAGACTAGGAGTTGTAAACTATGGCCCCAAGGTCAAATTCAGCTCATAGCCTATATTTGTGAATAAAGTTTTATTGAAGCATAGTCACACTCACTTGTTTAAGTTTTATCAATGGCTGCTTTTGTACTATGATGGCAGAGTTGTGTAGCCACAACAAAGAAAGTCTGACCTGTAAAACCTAAGATATTTTCTATCTAGTTCCTTAAGGAAGTTTGCCAATTTCTCATCTAAACTGATGTATCCCAATATTCTCCAATCAGCAATACCTATTAACTGGTCCAGGACTCGTAAGAAAGAAAGAACGATAAACACCTTTCCATTAATCTAGCAACCCAAATATCTGTCAGTTCATATATTCCTTTTCCAGTCACTAACGAAAAATTATGACTTTTATCTTTGCTCCTAGCATGACAACTTTGCACCAGTTCTGAATTACAACAATGTGGTGAAAAACTGAGAAAGGAAAATGAGAAAGCCAAAGACAGTAAAGCAAAAGAAGTTCTAGGACTTTCGGTTTGAGCTCAGACATGTAAAGAGTTTGGAAGTCATCACATTTGTCCTTACATTAAGAAAAAAAGCTGGACAAACAGAAAATCAAAGACTTTTTTTGGAAAAAACAGAGAGCTGAGTTTGTAGGGCAAACTGACATCCTGAAATCCAGAGAAAGAGGAGTGAATCCAGAGAGTCACCATCAAAAACCTGATGACCTGGAACAAAAGTCACTACAGCCAGTAAATAGTAGAAATACTTAAAACGGTAATTTTGACAAACTGCTGAAGGCTGGGCATGGTCTAGCCTGAGGATCAGAAACTCCTGGGAGACATAGTTTTGGGGATACCCTCATACTTTCAGGGTTTCACCTACCAGTGAAGAATCAAGAAAAATACCCTCATAGCTCTGGTAGAAGGAAAGAGAAAGTAACCATTGTAAAATAGGCCCAGAGCATTGTCTAAAAACAGGCACACTCTCCAGGAAAAAAAGCTTAATCAGAGTCTTCTAGCACAAGCATTTTCCAACTTCAGCCCCTTCTAGACCACCTATCTCACATAAAAGAGAAAAGCTAAAAGATGCCTTTTCACAGGTCACAGCCCAAGGACACAAATTCTTAAGTCACACGAGGCTGTGACTTAATCATAAGAGTACAGAATGATTCCCTTCCTTCATACTTCACCACGCATCAATAGGGCTCCAGGATAAGAGTGGAAAATTACATTTGAAAGAACTGCAAGATACAAACTCCAACTAAGGAAGAGTTCAAGATGTACAAATAGACAGGGGAAGGAAAAAAAGGACACTAAAAGAATTTAATGTCTCTGGCATTTAAAGCTTCAGTAAGCATTCAACACAGACCAACTCCTGGCCGAATTAAGATAAAACCTCAAATTACTAAAAGGCTATTTATTTGAACTCTTATCCCAAAGAAAGGCAATCCCAAAGAATGTTCGTTCAAACCACCACACAACTGTACTCAACTCACATGCTAGCAAAGTAATGCTCAAAATTCTCCAAGCTCGGCTTCAACAGCATGTGAACTGAGAACTTCCAGATGTTCAAGCTGGATTTAGAAAAGGCAGAGGAACCAGAAATCAAATTGCCAACATCTGTCAGGTCACAGAAAAAGCAAGAGAATTCCAGAAAAACACCTACTTCTGCTTTATTAACTATGCCAAAGCCTTTGACTGTGTGGATCACAACAAACTGTGGAAAATTCTGAAAGAGATGGGAATACCAGACCACCTTACCTGACTCCTGAAAAATCTGTATGCAGGTCAAGAAGCAACAGTTAGAACTGGACATGGAACAACAGAC